TTTCTTGGGAAATCTTGTTTCCTTCTTTAAGCTGCCTGAAAATTGCCTTGACTTGACTGTAGGTTTTCTTGGATTGTCCCGTCTCTGTTGATATTGTGATGTCCCCAAGTGTTTGCTTAGGCATGTGAAGATTCCTTCCTTCCTTCCTTCCTTCCTTCCTTCCTTCCTTCCTTCCTTCTTGGTATTTTTGTATTTGTGTGTGTCTGTGTGTGCCCGCACCTGGAAGTTATAGCTGACTTCTGGTTACCCTACTGGGGGAATGGAAGGCATTCAGAGTAGCGGCTTGAAAAAGCCTGCCCCAGCCTCCCAACCCAGGTATTCCTTGGAGGTCTCCCTTCCAAGTGCTTGTCTGCTTAACTTCCGAGATCTGACGAGGTCGGGCTGGCCTGGGCTGTCCATATCAGGGCAAGATGTATTTCTCTTAACCCATTCCACTTCAATCATTTCTCTCCTTCCTCTCTCACAGGATAAGAAAAATAAGATTAATGGATTTTTCCATGATGACAACCTAGCGGTTCTCGTGAGTCACTTATTTTGTGCCGGCATGTCACCCGTTTCAACTACATTGTGCTGGGGCCCCTTGCTAATGACGAGGTATCCTGAAATCCAGAGTAAGCGCTTTGCAGTCATTTGTTTCTACTATTTCAGTATATGCAGAGATAGAGGGGGGAAAATGAGGGAAAATACAAAAGGCCAGGTTTTAAAACGGCTGCCTTCTACTTTGTATCCCATATGCACAAGTTGTGTGTGTGTGTGTTTGTGTATAAAGTGCCATGAAGTCCCAGCTGACTTACGACAACCCAGGGGTGGATTAGAAGAGAAGAAGAAGAAGAGATTGGATGTATACCCTGCCCTTCACTTGGAGTCTCAGAGCGGCTTACAAACTCCTTTCCCTTCCCCTCCCCACAACAGACACCCTATGAGGTAAAAGTCGACAAAGAGGAGATTGGATTTATACCCCGCCCTTCACTACCCAGAGGAGTCTCAGAGAGGCTTACAAACTCCTTTCCCTTCCCCTCCCCACAACAGACACCCTGGGAGGTAGGCAGGGCTGAGAGAGCTCTTTTGAGAACTGCCCTTGCAAGAATAGCTCTGACAGAACTCTGGCTTGCCCAAGGTCTGCAAGTGGAGGAGGAAGAGGAGGAGGAGAAAGAGATTGGATTTATACCCCACCCTTCACTTGGAGTCTCAGAGCAGCTTACAAACTCCTTTCCCTTCCTCTCCCCACAACAGACACCCTGTGAGGTGGGTGGGGCTGAGAGAACTCTGACACAAACTGCTCTTTCAGGAACAGCCTTGCCAGAGCTTGTGACTGACCCAAGGTCACATCAGCAGGTGCGAGTGGAGGAGTGGGGAATCAAACCCGGTTCTCCCAGATTAGAGTCCGCACAGTTAACCACTGCACCAAACTGGCTCTCACTGGTGCCTTATGCACTGACCCATCTTGGTGCCCCCCTCCTTTCCACACTGACCCAGTCCATTTTAGTTGTTGACCAGATATACAACACAGGTTGCAGCAATACAAAAATTTATTCATAGGATAACACAATATACTGTACAAACTAAGCTTTTCACCCTTTCCCCAACTTTGTGGTGCCCCCTTTGGCCCTGGTGCCCTAAGCACGTGCTTAGTCTGCTTTGTGGTGAATCTGCCCCTGCGGCAACTCCAGCAAAGGGGCTTTCATTCAAGGGAAGTGAGAACCAGAGGTGGTTTGCCATGGCCTTCCCTTGCAGAGTCTTCCTTGGTGGGTGGCCCTGGACTGACCCCTACTGGGGGTCTGGAGGATAGTCAGAGGGGTGGCTGAATAAAGCCTGACCCCGCCTCCCGACTGCTGGTATTCCAAGGAGGTCTCCCATCCAAGTACTTGCCAGAGTCGACCCTGCTTAGCTTCCAAGATCTGATGAGATCGGGCTGGCCTGGGCTATCCAGGCCGGGGCACTCAGGCTGAGAATATTGATGTGCCCAAGGCAATGCTCCTTCTAAGCTGTGAAGTCTTGTGAGCAAAAAAAATCTACTTTGTGAGCTAAAGTTGCGAGTGAGTGATTTGGCTACTGCATAAATTACTTTGAGAGCCAGTTTGGTGTAGTGGTTAAGTGCGCGGACTCTAATCTCGGAGAACTGGAGTTGATTCCCCACTCCTCCACTTGCACCAGCTGCTGGCGTGACCTTGGGTGAGTCACAAGTTTTCTCAAAGCTGTTCTCTCATGGGCAGTCCTCTGTCAGAGCCCTCTCAGCCCCGCCTACCTCACAGGGTGTCTGTTGTGGGGAGGGGAACGGAAAGGAGTTTGTAAGCCGCTCTGAGACACCTTTGGGTAGTGAAGGGCGGGGTATAAATCCAATCTCTTCTTCTTCTTCTTTGCTTTGGAGCCCTCCTTCCTGAGCCGAGACAAAAATGTGTGAGCCGGAGGCTAAAAAACTGCAAGCTAGGTCACACTCACTCAGTTTAGAGGGAACACTGGTCCAAGGTCACCCAGTAAGTGCCCAAGGTCACCCAGTGAAGATCTGAAGCCCCGTCACCCCGAATCCTAGTCCAAAACTCTAGCTACTACACAGTGCTACCCGAAGTGGTACCCCCATCCATCAGAAGTATTCACATTTTTGTTTTAGTTTTCCGACTCTCATCTGCTGACCAGCCTGTGAGAACCATTCATCGTGATTACCGTGGCCTCAGGACTCGTAGGGAACAATATTAAGCCGTATACTTTGTTTTCATAGGAAGGAATGTTCTGTTTCCTCAGAAAAGGCCCAAAAAGAAATTACAGAGGTGATTGGATCTGCTCAGCCGCGGATTGAACATCGATCACAGCTGCCGTATACAAATGCGGTAATCCACGAAGTCCAGAGGTTTGCTAATATTTTCCCTGCCAGTATGCCGCATGAAACCACTGCAGATGTCACCCTTAAGGGCTACTTCATCCCAAAGGTAGTCAATCTTATCTATTGCTTTACGGTACAACAACTTTAGGGCAGTTGACTACGGCTTATTTATCAACTAGAAATAAGGCCCGTTGTGGAAATAAATACAATGGGATCTAGAAAGAGGCTCTGGGAGAGTGCTCTGGCTTTGGGCAAACAGTGTCAGTCTGCTTTTAAAACATGAATTTGGGACCTGCACACCACCAGAATACAGCAGGTTCCATATGCAACTGACATTCCAACTGCCTTGCGGGGGGGGGGAGTTTGAGGTGTGGAATGGACTGAAGTCCAATCAGCTTCCATATGCAAAAGACCAGGTTGTTGCAGCAGTTGTGGTGTGGGCGGGACCCGGGCTTTGCCTTCTGATTGGTGGCGATATATGCTGAGGAGCAGTGCCATCAGCCATACACTAAGGGAGTGCATTTTAGAATTAGAACTTCGGCACCCACTATTCAATTATATATAAGGAGAGATTTGTTACCTGTCAAAAGTTTGCTTTTCGTTGTGTGAAATAGAAGATGTATTCGGTTCGCTGTAAATTCCGGAGGTGTGTTTTATTGAAATTTAGGGATCTAAACGATATCTTTAGCTGGGTCGTGCTTTTAGCTGGATCATGGTTTCCCAAACATTGAAATGTTGTCCGTCAAAATCAGCTTCTTCGCTTGCTTTCCTTGCTCTTGAATTCTCATATAAGTAGGTGGGGTGCAGGACTTTTTTTCCTGGGGGAACGCGCCGGAACAGAGTTCCGGAATCTCTTCTACAGAATTCTTTTTAAAATGTTTCAAAACTCTTGAGTTTTCAGTATACGGTTAGAAAACTTTATTTCCCTCTTGAGAGTTCTGGCACCTCTTTTTCCAAGAAGGAGGAGGAGGAGCAGCCCTGGTTGGGTGGCATTTTCTTTGAAGGATAGTTAATGTGCTTGATGGGCAATTTTCATTTTCTTCAACAACTTCACTGCTTTGCCTTTGCAGGGAACACATATTGTCCCATTACTGTACTCTGCGCTGTACGATGAATCTGAGTGGGAAAAGCCCTTTACATTCTATCCTGAGCACTTCCTTGATTCCGAAGGGAAGTTTGCCAAAAGAGATGCCTTCCTGCCTTTCTCTGCAGGTAACACATTTTATATAGCGTGTATTTAATTCAGGAGTCCTGAACCTTTTTGAGATTGCAGGTCCCTTTGGAATTTGGACACAAGGTGGTGGTCACAACTACAAAATGGCTGTCAGAGGAGGAGGAGCCAAGGAATGAGGTCATCCCTAAATCCAATGGTAACTCTTCAGCATTTCTGGCAGAACAACGGCACTTCTTCCTGAAATTGTTGAAGAGCTGCTATTAGATTCAGGTGGTTCAAGGTGCTAGCATAATACAAAATGTTTATAAGGAAATTCAGTAAATGGGGGCTCCCTTTCTGCTTCTTCATTATCACAGGTCGGCGAATGTGTGCTGGTGAGACCCTTGCCAAAATGGAGCTTTTTTTATTCTTCACAAGCCTTCTGCAGAGATTCACTTTCCAGCCAGCCCCAGGGATATCTTCAGAAAATGTGGACCTTACCCCTACAGCTGGGTTTTCTTCCGCTCCACCACCCTTCAAGTTGTGCGCTTTGCCACGCTCTTAGTGCAGAACTTACTAATTCCCCATCTGTATGAGGTCTTCTGCACCTTCGTGCTGTGCTTACCAAGGACATTTCAGGTCAATAACCTCTGTGGAATTGTCACAAACCTTAATGTCCCATATGCCAGTCTGCAAAGACCCATAAGATAGCTCAGAGTTTAGCTCCAGATTTTGGCCTCCTTTCATGTGTCATTCAATTCCTAGAGAAAAGCTGGTTTCTTATGTTCAGACAATGCAGCTGTCTAGAACTATGGTAACAACCAAGTTCACTTAATTCACCACCAATCTCCACCTGCTTCTTTTTCATAAGATACATGTACACGAGGGTGTAACGATATGAGCTTATGTTTGTATTTCTGTATAGTGGTGATGCTGCTTATGTGTGTCTCTAGCATGAATACCTATGCAATATGTATTCAGGGATTGCTGTATGTTGTGTGTTGCTTTGTTCTGCATCTCATGCTTGCCTAGAAATAGGCTGGCCTGGGCCTGCCGTTGCACATACGGACCATGTGCGTCCCTGGAATGTATCCCATGACTCTGTGGGATGGAGAAGACACCGCGCCATTGCACCCACTTGGAGAGCTGTGGAAAATCCCCAGCGAACCCCGGCATTCCTGGAATGGAAAGAGCAAGTGACCCTACTCCCTTAATCTGGTTTGGAGATCTAAAGACAATAGCGTTTATGGCTTTGGAGCAGGAACCAGATCTGCAAATCAAGAGGGTGTCCATGGGAACGGAAGATTCACACCTTGCCAAAAGGCACCTTTGATGTAGGAGTAGGATCTGCATATTGCCACCACCCCTCAGGAGAGCGTCATCCCCTCGTCACCCCCTCTTCATCCAGTAGTGATAGTTTAGAGGACGGGTTTGATAGTTTATGGCTGGATAGCACATGCCCCAAAAAGAGTTTATTTAAGGAGAAACTCTCCTTTGTCTCTCTGGTTAACCCACCCTCCCCATAGCAGTGCACTAAGGTGCTACAAGTGACTCTACTACCTAAGTTCTCCGGAGTCGCGACCCAGAGAGCTCACACGTGGTTTGGCTGGTCCTACCTGTGTGCCTTGGAGTTCACAAGCTGCTGCATTTCGGCTGCCCAGCGTTCCAAGGAGGAGAGTTCTTCCTCAGCTGGACCTCAGATGAGTATAGCCGTGCCCCATTGTGTCATCCCCATTTTGATGCTTTTGTTATTTTCTATGCTGTAATTGTTCTAATGTACTATTGTAACTAAGGAGCTTGTATGAATTTGTGTGATTCCGATTTTGTATGCCTGATGAAAAACCTTTAGTAAAGACAACATTTATTTAAGGACTAGCGTGTTGTCTCACTTCCTGGGATATAGCCGAGCGTCTCATTCGCCATCCGACCTCTGTATAGACTGGTATAGAACTTACGCACAGCCACAAACACCCAATTTTCCTTGGTAGATAACTTGGATTGGGTCTCCAGGAATTTCCTGGAGAAGTTGGCATAACAGATCTGGTGCCCCGTGTGAGGCGACCTTTGGACCCCTCGGAACCAGTACCCAACCATTTGGTTCCGAAGGACCCAAAACGTGGAGAAACGATCTGGTCGTTTGGACGCTCTAGCGTAGGGAAGTGTGAGAGGTTTCCGTCTGCGTGCTTGGCCTTTAGTGGCATCTGTACTGCGGGAGGGATTTCTACCCCTTTCCCTCTAAACCCAGGAGCATCCTCGGTTTCGCGCTCCGATCCTATCGTTGTGGGTGGACACCGAGGCGCGACTACGAAGAGGACCTGGTTAGGGACCCCCAGTTGCACAAGCACTACATACACGCAGGAACATATAAACCCCTGTCTCCTTAAAACGCTCCCCGACTTCGGTGCCCAGCCAAGAGGCTGCGCCCGTAATATTCTCCCTCCCCCGAAGCGAGCTGAGGACAACTCGCACGGGATCGGCACAAGCTGCGCGCTGTAGCCGTCCCGTCCCTAGGAGCTAAGTTCTCCAGTAGGGAAAACCTCACTATCTGGCGCAGTTGGGTTGAATGAGGGCTGGAAGCGGGGTGGCCGGAAGCAGGGGGCGGGGCTTCATCGTGTGCCCCGCCCCCCGCACCTCACCCGGGGGAACTGCAATCCCCCGCGATCCCCCCGAATTGACCTCTGGCTGTAACTATTGCAAAGATCTAACAAAATAATTTGGGTACATCTGGGTAATGTTATTCTTTATATACCAGTACCAAATGTAGACTTCTAATATTGGAATTTAGGATGTAGAACGGTATGACATAGGCCTGATTTCATCAGATCTCATAAACTAAGCCAGCTGGTATTTGGATGGGAGACCACCAAGGAAGACTCCACAGAGGAAACAATGGCAAACCTCTTATGTTTCTCACACACCTTTAAAGCCCCAGTTTGGTGTACTGGTTAAGTTTGTGGACACTAATCTGGGAGAACCGGGTTTGATTCTCCACTCCTCCACTTGCAGCTGCTGGATGACCTTGGGCAAGCCGTAGTTCTGTCAGAGCTGTTCTCTCAAGGACAGTTCTCTCAGAGCTCTCTCAGCCCCACCTACCTCACAGGTTGTTTTGTTGTGGGGAGGGGAAAGGAGTTTGTAAGCCACTCTGAGACTCTGAGTGAAGGGCGGGGTATAAGTCCAATCTCTTCTCTCTTCTTCTTCTTCTTCTTCTGCTGGGGTCACCATGTTGGTTGGACTTGAAAGCACTTATTTGCATAATAACATTGAAATTGAAGCCATAGGAACAAAACCATTAGGGATAAAGGCTGGTGCTCTTCAATGAAAACTTCATCTGGCACAGATGAATACCTTCCTGACGCTACATCGAATAGTTGGCCTCCGTGCAGATACGGCAGAATCTTTGCAATGGGGTCAGCCTTCACTAATGCTAAGGGTGTTGCAAAGGCTGTCCGTGACATGACAGGTATTGGTCCACAAGGGGGTGTCACAGCGCAAGCCATGATACCAACCTAGTCTTCACAGGAGGTTGTGGAAAGGCTGAAAGCACTGATATGGGCATTTGCGGAAACAAACCACATCGAGCGATCGTCTGCAAGTCGAGTTCTCATTTCACAGACTAATCAGATTTCATTTCAAATATATTTATTTATTTGGGTCAATATCTATCCTGCCCTTCCCGCGGACGGGCTCAGGGCGGGTTACAACAACGGTTATAGAACGATAAGATCAGACTTTTAAAACCATAAAATATTCACCCCAGAACGATGGGTTCATGCTGTGTCTGAACCGAGCCAGTTACACCAAAGTAGACATTTGTGCTGCAATTCCAGCGGAGGAAAAATATCACATGTGAGGCTGCCCAATACACTTCCTGCATCAAAATGGGTATCATGGGTTCAAGTAATGATGGGACATCATACACATTGGGACTGGAATTCTACGGGTCTCAGAAGTGAGGCAACTGATAAACCCACAATCAAGGTCAAATATAAACTTAGTGGCTGTAAATTGTTAACTGTCAGCTTCTTGGAGCCTGGAATTTATTACTTTGGTTTTGTTGGCAGCAGCCTTATTAAGTATTTTTTTTTTCAACTGGATTTATTTTTTGAAGAGACAGTATGTTGGATAAGGAGTTTAAGATATTTTTTTGTTAGAATGGTGTCCTGCATAGTGATGTTTGTTTGTTTGTTTAATTAACACCCCAGTAATGCTGGAAATGGCTACAGCTGCAACAGATTAATTAAGACAGTACCCTTGTGGCTACCAAAAAAGTTTTAAAAGTTTTCCTCTGGAATGATCAATATATAACTCTTGGAGAACAAAAATCCTACTGTTGAATCGACCTGAGGGGGGTTAATAAAAATAAAGTATAAACTGAGAAAAGAAGGGAACCAAAATAAAAGGAGTGGAGTGACCCCTAACTCATATAGTAAAGGTAAAGGTTTCCCTTGCACAAAAGCCAGTCGAATCCGACTCTAGGGTGTGGTGCTCATCTCCGTTTCCAAGCCGAAGAGCCAGCGCTGTCCGAAGACATTTCCGTGGTCATGTGGCCGGCATGACTAGATGCTGAGGCACACGGAACGCTGTTACCTTCCCACCAAAGCAGTACCTATTTCTCTACTTGCAATTTTTTGCTTTCGAATTGCTAGGCTGTCAGGAGCTGGGACCAGAGATGGGAGCTCACTCCATCACGCGGCACTCGGGTCTCGAACGGCTGAACTACTAATCTTCCGGTGTGTAGTTCAGCATCTTAACTACTGAGCCACCACTAGCTGTTTAATCTGTTCCAACGATGGGGGGGGGGGAATGTGTCCTTAGGGGGAAGAAAGACCCCCCTCCCACCGAATAAGCAATCTAGATTGGAGGATTTCTTCTCCACAGTAAAAGTGCAAAATAGATACGCCTGCCTGGAAACAGATATAGAAGGGGAGGGCAGTCTACAGAGTCTTAAAGTCTGATCATGGAAAAGATCAAAGGTCCCCATCTGATCTGGAACTAGGATTGCTATCCATAGGCAACACAGAATTGGATTTTATAAGTTATCACAGCAACAACTCCGACTTGAAAATATTACGGATTGGATACAGAAGCTACATAAGAGCTTAGAGCCTTTTACAACAAATCAGCAAGCAGGGACTGCTGACAATGTAGAACATATTAAGAACCAGGGCTATTTTTGGGCAGGAACGCACAGGAACAGAGTTCCGGCTGGCTTCCAAGTTGGCCACGCCCAACAGGAACGCATTAGCATAATAGGCCACACCCAACAGCAGAAACTCATTAGGACTGGCTACATTAGGGGTGTGTGGCCTAACATGCAAAGGAGTTCCTGCTACAAAAAAAGGCCCTGAGTTTGGACAAGAAACAAGGTAAACAGAATAAGAAGCAAAAGGTGGGTGTGGCTGGGTGAGCACATGTCTGGTAACATGGGGTGTGGCCTAATATGCCAATGAGCTGTGCTGTCGGGTGTGGCCTAATATGCTAATGAGTTTCTGTTGGTGTGGCCTATTATGCTAATGAGTTCCTGCTGGGCTTTTTCTACAAAAAAAGCCCCGTTAAGAACTATGA